TTTTAATCAAACCACTGAAGTGTCAACAAACGCAATTTTAAAAACAAAGGCATACAGGGGGAAAAAGAACAAAAATAAGTTAAAAAAGAAACAAAAAACTAGAAGAGCTAGGTGTAGTGGCACACATCTGTAGTCTCAGCTACTTGGGAGGCTGAGGCAGGATTGCTTGAGCCCAGGAATTCAAGACCAGCCTGGGCAGCATTGTGAGACTCCAATCTCAAAAGGAAAAAGAAAGAGTAAATGCCTATAAAGTCTTGATGAATTTGGTTCTGATCTGAGATAAGTGACAAACAATGGCAAAAGAATTATCTGATAGTTTGTCCTTTGAGTTGAATAGAAATGGATATTTTACTTGCAAGGAATTTAATAATTTAAATCCAATCAGAACAACACCCACTCCAAAGAATTTTGTAAATCAATTCTATTTTAGGCAGAATTATCCCTAAGTTTGGAATACTATTCCCAAGTACTTATTTAATACAAACCATGTAAAGGGTGTTTGTAAGATACAGGTTAATTGTTGCAGAGAAATATGAAGACCTAGAGCTGACTTCTAGTCTCTCAGGTAATTTACACATAAATAGACACACAGAAAGCAGCTTTGGACCAAAGGAATTTTAAATTTCAAGCAGAGGTGTGATAAGAACTTCAAAGAGAAGATGGCATATACTGAACCAAAAGGATAGATTTTATTACTGCTCAGATCTCTTATTACTACTCAAAGAAGCTGGGAGGAAACACCCTCTCCCCTAGAGTACAGAATTATTTGAGAAGTTTTCTCAAATTTCAAAATGTTATTTTCTCCTTTATAACTTCTTTCCATAAAGCCCATACTTCCTGGCTGAGAACAGTGCAGTAAAAAACACCATGACTGCTGAGAAGATGTGTTCTGTATTTTTTAGGCATGTTAGGGCAGAAAAATTATGCTGACATTGTGTTATAGATAAAGCTCTATAAACCTACTTAGTACTCTCTTTTACCATACAATAAAGTATGATTCCTTGATGATTTCCTTGCTTGCATTATTAAGAACAAGAATTAGGGCTGGGGATGTAGTTCAATAGTAGAGCTCTTGCCTGGTATATGCTAGACCCTGGGTTCAACCTCTAATGCCAAAAAAATAAAAATAAAAATAAAATTTAAAGAGAGAGAGAGAGAGAGAGAGAGAGAGAGAGAGAGAGAGAGAGAGAGAGAAAATGAACATGAAGTAGATAAATGGTGTAGTAGAGCTCCTTCAACTAAAGATTTCAAAAAGTTATCTATACAATGGCATGATGGTTCAGAATTTTTCTAGTCGGAGCAGCAGTATGATCTCTGACTCTGTTTCCTTATATACAATATGGGAACGATTTAATGTACTTTAGAGGATTAAATGAGTTAATATTTGTGAAAGTGCCTGTTACACGGTAGACACCAAAGTTAACTTCTAAAATAATGAAATTTAAGATGGAGAGCACTAGAAGAGTAACCAAAAATCAAGACTGAATTAATTAGAGCAAATGAATTAAAATGGCGGGAAAACTACAAATATCCATAATAACATTGAATGTAAATGGTCTCAGCTCCCCAATTAAAAGACCAAGATTCGCAGAATCAATAAACAAACAGGACCAACAATATGCTGTTTGCAAGAAACTTATCTCACAGGCAAAGATACCCACAGGATGAAGGTAAAAAGATGGAAAATAACATATTTCACCCAAATGAGTCCCAAAACAAACAGGAGTAGCTAGTCTTATATCTAACAAAGCAGATTTCAAGCAAAAATTCATCAGAAGAGACAAAGAAGGCCACTATACCTGGTACAGGGAACAGTTCAACAAGGAGATACTTGTTGACATTAAATCCCAGATAAACTCCATTACAATAATATTGGGTGATTTCAACATACCCTATCACCAATTGATAGGTCATCCAAACATAAAATCAATCAATAAATTACCATCTTTATACTATAAATCAAATGGTCCTAACAGACACCTACAAAACATTCACCCCTAAACAGCTGAATTTACCTTATTTTCAGCAGCTCATGGAATCTTTTCCAAAACAGACCATATTCTAGGTCACAGTATAAGTCTTAGCAAATACAAAAAGGTTGATATAATCCCAGGCATCCCATCAGATCCCAATGGAAGGAAACTAGAAATCAACAAGAAAAATAACAGAAACAACATAAACACAGGGAGATTGAACAATACTCTTTTAAATGAAAAATGGAACACAGAAGAAATAAGTGAAGAAATCAAGAAATTCTTAGAAACAAATTAGAACAGAGATACAAAATAAAATCTTTGGACAATATTAAAACAGTTCTAAGAGGAAAACTTATAGCATTGAGTACCTGAATTAAAAAAAATAGAGAAATCCCATATAAATAATTTATATTCTAGCTCAAGACCCTAGAAAAGGAAGAATAAACTAGTTCCAAACTCAGTAGAAGACAGGAAATAATTAAGATCACAATTGACATTAATGAAATTGAGAATAAAAACATACACAGGATCAGTGAAACAGATCTGGTTCTCAAAAAGATAAATAACACTGATAAACCCTTAGTCAATCCCCCTGCCCCAAAAAAGAGATACAGAGAAGATCCAAATAAAAAAAAAGTTAGAGTTGAAAAAGGAGGTATCATCATAGATGCTTCTGAAATCCAGAGGATCATTAGAAACTATTTTGAAAATGTATATTCTAATAAACTGGAAAATCTAGATGATAATGACAAATTTCTAGATACATATGATCTGCTCTAATTGAACAAGGAAGATACAGAAAACCTAAACTGACCAATATCATGTAATGAAATTGAAACAGCAATTAAAAGCCTTCCAACAAAGAAAAATCCAGAACCAGATGGATACCCAGCTGAGTTCTACCAACCTGTAAACAACTAACACCAGCATTTCTCAAAATACTCCATGAAACTTAAAGGGAGGGAACACTTCATATACATTCTATAAAGCTAGTAAAGCCCTGACACCAAAACAAGAGAAAGACACAACAAGGAAAGAAAACTACAGATCAATATAAAATTAAATATTAGCAAACCAGGAACAAGACAACAATGTCCATTCTCACTACTTCTCTTCAATATAGTTCTTAAAATTCTAACCAGAGTAAGAGAAGAAGTTAAAAGGATACAAATAGGAAAAGAAGTCAAACTATCTGTTTGATGATGACAGGATCCTATTATTTAAGAAGACCCAAAAAACTTCACCAAAAGACTCCAGGAACTGATAAATTAATTCAGAAAAGTAGCAGGGTACAAAAATCAACACTTATACATCAACAGCTTTCCTATGTTCCAACGATTCTGTAGAGAAAGAAATCAAGAAAACCTGAAAAAACAAAACAAAAAAACCTTGGAAATTAATCTAACCAAGGGGGTGAAAGATCTCTACAATGAAAATTATACAACACCAACGAAAGAAACTGAAGAAGATCTTAGAAGATAGAAAGACCTGCCATGTTCTTGGATAGGTAGAATTAATACCATCAAAATGGCCACAATACCAAAAGCAATATACAGATTCAATGCAATCCCCATCAAAATACCAATGGCATTCTTCACAGAACTAGAAAAAACAGTCCTTAAATTTATTTGGAAGAAGAAAAAACCTAGATTAGCCAAAACAATTCTGAACAAGAAAAATGATGTAGGACAACACCTGATCTCAAATTATACCACAGAGCTATAGTAACAAAAACAGCATGGCATCAGAAACAAAATAGACATGAAGACCAGCGAAACAGAATAGAAAGTACAGGAAAAAAACCCACATACTTACAGCCATCTGACATACTTGACAACAAAGGTGCCAAAAATATACGCTAGAGAAAAGATAGTCTTTTTAACAAATGATACTGGGAAAACTGGATATCCTACTGTAGAAGAATGAAATTAGATTCCTCTCTCACACTTTGTACAAAAGTCAAATTGAAATGCATCAAATCTTCAGGGATTAGACCAGAAACCTTGCAACTGCTAGAAGAAAACATTGGGTCAATACTCCATTATATAGGTGTGCAGGCACTGACTTCCTCAGCAAGACTCCTAAAGCTCAGGAAATAAAACCAAGAATCAATAAGTGGGATGCCACCAAATTAAAAGCTTTTGCGCAGTAAAGGAAGTGATTAAGAACATAAAGGGCCTACATCCTGGGAACAAATCTTTACTCCTCACACTTCAGATAGAGCCCTAATATCCAGAGTATACAAAGAACTCAAAAAATTAGACAATAAGATAACAAATAACCCAATCAACAAATGGGCCAAGGACCTGAACAGACACTTCTCAGAGGAGGACATACAATCAATCAACAAGTACATTAAAAAATGCAAATCAAAACCACTCTAAGATACCATCTCACTCCAGTAAGATTGGCAGCCATTATGAAGTCAAACAACAACAAGTGCTGGCGAGGATGTGGGGAAAAGAGTACACTTGTACATTGTTGGTGGGACTGCAAATTGGTGCAGCCAATTTGGAAAGCAGTATGGAGATTTCTTGGAAAGCTGGGAATGGAACCACCATTTGACCCAGCTATTCCCCTTCTCGGTCTATTCCCTAAAGACCTAATAAGAGCATGCTACAGGGACACTGCTACATCGATGTTCATAGCAGCACAATTCACAATAGCAAGACTGTGGAACCAACCTAGATGCCCTTCAATAGACGAATGGATAAAAAAAATGTGGCATTTATACACAATGGAGTATTACTCTGCATTAAAAAAGGACAAAATCATAGAATTTGTGGGAAATGGATGGCATTAGAGCAGATTATGCTAAGTGAAGCTAGCCAATCCCTAAAAAACAAATGCCAAATGTCTTCTTTGATATAAGGAGAGTAACTACGAACAGAGTAGGGACAAAGAGCATGAGAAGAAGATTAACATTAAACAGGATGAGAGGTGGGAGGGAAAAGGAGAGAGAAGGGAAATTGCATGGAAATGGAAGGAGACCCTCAGGGTTATACAAAATTACATACAAGAGGAAGTGAGGGGAAAGGGAAAAATAATACAAGGGGGAGAAATGAATTACAGTAGAGGAGGTAGAGAGAGAAGAGGGGAGGGGAGGGGAGGGGAGAGGGGATAATAGAGGATAGGAAAGGCAGCAGAATACAACAGACACTAGTATGGCAATATGTAAATCAATGGAAGTGTAACTGATGTCATTCTGCAATCGGTATATGGGGTAAAAATGGGAGTTCATAACCCACTTGAATCAAAGTGTGAAATATGATATATCAAGAACTATGTAATGTTTTGAACAACCAACAATAAAAAAAAAGAAAAAATAAATAAATAAAGATGAATTATGGCTAAAAAAAAAAAAAAGAACATAAAGGGAGAATATACAGAATGGGAGAAAATCTTGGCCAGCTACTCCTCTGATCCTTTGATAGGGGACACTATCCAGAGTATAAAGAACTCAAAAAACTTAACACCAATAAAACAAATAGCCCAATCAATAAATGGGCAAAAGAACAAAACATACATTTCTCAAAAAAAGAAACAAAATTGGTCAGAAATATATAAAAAATATTCAACATCTCTAGCAATCAGAGAAATGCACACCAAAACCACCCTAAGATTTCATCACTCTCGTCAGAATGGCAATTACCAAGAACACAAAAAATATATAAATGCTGGTGAGGATGTGGCAGAAAAGGTAGAGTCATACATTGTTGGTGGGACTTGCAAATTAGTACAACCACTATGGAAAGCACTGTAGAGATTCCTCAAAAAACTAGGAATGGAACCACATATGACCCAGCTCTTCCTCTCTTTAGTATTTATTCAACAGAACTAAAAATCAGCATACTAAAGCAATACAGCCACTTCAATGTCTACAGTAGCACAATTCACAATTGCCAAATTATGGAATCAATTCAGATGTCCAAATATACACACACACACACACACACACACACACACACACACACACATATACACATACACATACACACACATAAAGGAGTTTTACTCAGCCATAAGGAAGGATAAAATAATCTGCCAGTAAATGCATGAAAATGGAGAAAATCATGCTAAGTAAAATAAGCCAGAACAGAAAACCAAGGGTCGAATGCTTTTTCTCCTATGTGGAAGCTAGAACAAAATAAGGAAAAGAAGATGGGCGCTGGGATTGAATATCATAAAGATATAAGGAAGATCAGTGGAATAGAAGGAGATGAAGAGGAGGGAGGAGGGACAGGAAAGAGAAGGAAATAAGGAATGATTTTAACAAAATTACATTATATGCATGAATAAATATACCTTGGGGAATTTCATCTTTATGTATAAGTAGAAAGTACCAATAAAAATAAATAAATAAATAAATAAATAAGTGAAAGGAAGATCAGTAGAGGAAGAAGAATAGGGGATTGAAATCAAATGCCATGCATGTATGATTTTGTCAAAATGAACCCAAATACTATAATGCTCTAATAAAATAAAAATAATTTTATTTATTTATCTAATAAAATGATTAAACAAATGACTAATAAAATAAAAAATTTTTAAGTCATAGAAGTTGCAAAGATCTTGCCCTTGAAGAAAGAGTCAGGTCACAGATTTCTTTTCCCATGAATCTTAAAATGAAATCCAAACTCTCAAAATACCTGTTCTACACCTTCTACTTCCGGAATATAAAACTGCAGCATGTTCTGAATCCCATTTTTCAGAGTAATGATTGAACTGGGACAGCTAGTACAAGAACCTTGGAGTTTCAGCTGTACAATGCCATCTTCAAAGCCTTTATAGATCACATCTCCTCCATCTTCCTGCACAGTTGGCCTGTGATCACAGATGTATTGGTGATACACTTAAAGAACAGAAATTTTTACTGGAAAAATTTAATACAGCTTAGACTTAGATTTTATATTGGTAAACTTCACAAAGTTAGAGTAACTTTTACAATAGTTAATAATAATTGTGGTTAAGTCTTATTTCTAGTTTTAATTTTTTAAACTTGCAAATAAAGTGCCAAAATTCATTCATAACAAATATTTACTCATTACATCTAATTTTGCTGCTTATTAATAAACTTTAAGCATTGAAAATGTGAAATTTCCTAGTAAGTATTGTGATGACTTAAGATAGACCCGTTCACGTCTTTGACAAAGGAGGAGGCTTCTGGTTTTTCTTCAGGAAAACTTTTCATTGAAATATAACATTAATACAGAAAATGCATAAATCATGTATGTACAATTCAACAAATTTTCACAAAATAAACACATAATTTGTAACTACCACCCAGACCAAGAATCAGAACACTGGTGTCCTAGAAGTTCCCCTTTACTTCTAATTGCTCTCCTAACCAAATTTAACCACTATTCTAATTGCTGTTGCCACTGATTAGTTTTACATGTTATTCAGCTTTATAATTTATAAGCTTTTTTTTTTTTGCAGAGGTAGACATTGAACCCAGGGCCTCACACATGCTAGGCAAGTGCTCTTCCACTGGGCACATCCCCAGTCCTATAAATTCTATTTTAAATCACAGAGATTTTATTCTTTTGTATCTGGCTTCTTTTTCTCTTTGTGAGATTCATTCATGTTTAGTATATTAGCAGTTTATTCAATCTCATTGCTGCATGGTTTTCCATTAAGTTAATATGCTAGAATTTATTATCCATTCTAATGTTGATGGACATTTGGGTTAATACCAATTTTTGGCTTTTATAAATAGTATACCTATGAAGATTCTTTTAAATGTCTTTTGGAACACACCCAAAGGCAAAATTGCTGGGTCAAGAGTGTAAGTATTTAGTAGACACTGAAAGACACTATTTTAAACTTTCCCACCAGCTAGTGTCCATCATTTTAACCATTCTAGTGGATTTTAGTGCTATTTCATTGTGGTTTAAGTTTAAAACACTTTTTTCATGTTTAGTAACCATTTGGTTATTGTCTTCTGTAAGATGCCTACATCAAATTCTGATTGTCTTTTTCTTGCCAATTTGTAGATCTTTATATATCCTGTCATAAATTATAATTATCTTCTATTATATATAATTATATATTATATATTATACATATATATTATATAATTATCTTCTATTCTGTATTTTGTCTTTTCACTGTAAATTACATTTCTGATGAAGAAAAAGTCATAATTTTACTGCAGTCTGATTGATATAGTTTTTTTTCTCAATTTTATGTACCTATTTTCTTTTGTTTTACCACTGAGGAGCAGCCCCAGCCCAATCCACATGTCTTTTTGAAAAGCACTGCTTAGTTTCTAAATACATGGAGGTTTTGCCATTATGTTTTAGTAACTGATGTCTAATTTAATCCTAATGCAGTCAATAAACAATATTCTCAGGCTGGAGTGTAGCTCCACTGAGCATGAACAAGGCATTGGGTTCAATCCCCAGGAAAAAAAAAAGACCCACAAATCCCCCAATATTTTCAATGATTTCAATCCTTGAAATCTGTTAAGGGTTGCTTCATGATCCCTCATGTAGTCTGTTTTAGTACATGTCCCCTATACACGTGAAAAGAATAAATATTTCTGTTGAGTGCAGCATTCTATATATGTCAACAATTTGGGCAAAGTTTTTGCTAATCTTGTGTTTGAAACTCTTATATCTTAACTGATTATTTTTTGTGTTGTTCTATTTGCTACCCAGAGAACAGTGTTAGTCTCCCATCATGATTGTGAGGTATGTCTCCTTTTGTTTTGTCAGATAGTCTTCATTAATTTTGAGAACACGTTTTTAGGGTTTTAGGTTAGTATATATTCCTGATAGAAATTAAAGATCTCTCTTTATGTATAGTAATGTTTTAAGCTGTAAGGCACATTTTGTCTGATATCTGGCTTTCTCTTATTCATTTTTTGAATGCTGTAGATTTTTACATCTTTTTACTTTCTCTCTCTTAATGGAGTTTAATGAAGTTAATTCAGCTATAAAGAAGAATGAAATTATGCCATTTCCAAGAAAATAGAAGTAACTTGAGAGCATTATGTTAAGGGAAATAAGCCAAACTCAGAAAGTTAAGCGTCCTGTGTTTCCTCTCATATGCAGAAGCTAGGGTTAAAAAAAGGAAAAAACAGGTGGGTGGGTAGGGTCTCATAAAAACAGAAGGGAGACTAGTAAAAGGAAGGGAATCAGGAGGAAAGGGAAAAGGTGTTAGAGTCTGTAAACAAGTCTGGATGGCGCCTGGCATATTGCCAGAGGGAGTGGTTTGTGAAGTAAGAGCCATTAAGTGTGGAGATTCCTAATTGGTTGACTGATGTATCTAGTTTATGCTAATTAAGATAAGCTGTGTGGAATGTATAAATACCACTCTGGTCCTACAATAAATGGCTCCCACTCCTGCTGTATCAGTCTACACAAGTTGCTCATCACCCCCCAGTTATTTTGCTGCAGCCAGACTGCGGCAAAAGGTAAGTACTAGGGAATAAAATTGATCAAATTATATTTGTTACATTGTGTGCATGTATAAATATGTACAATGAATCTATTATGTATAATTATAATACATCAAAAAAATAAAAATTGTGGTTATGGAGCTGGGGAATGTAGGTCAGTGGTAGAACACTTGCTGAACATATGTAAAGTCCTGCATTTGATCCCTAGCACTGAAAATTTTAAAAAAGTGTCTAAATTCACATGAAATTCATTTTTTATGTTTAACCATTTTTAAGTTTAGTTCACATTATTGTGCAGCCAGTCTCTAAAATTATTTTAAACATCTTGCAAAACTTAATTTCTACATCCTTTAAAAATGAAAAGAAGTTATTCAGTTGATAAGATTAACATATTAACAATGTAAGGTGTGTCTTAAAATATTTGTAATGCAACAAGGGATGGTCATTCCATGGATAATTTTTAAAGCCCCCAAAGAAATCACTAATGGTATGCTACTTTCTCCACTTTCCTGTACTTTTTGTGTAAGTTTGAAAAGGTTCTTTTATTCTTTTTTTTATTTGTTCTAATTAATTATACATGACAGTAGAAAGCATTTTGATACATCATACATAAAATGGAGTACAACTTCTCATTCTTCTGGTTGTACATGATATTGAAAAGATTCTTTTTTTTCTTTTTTTATTGGTTGTTCAAAACATTACAAAGCTCTTGACATATCATATTTCATACATTAGATTCAAGTGGGTTATGAACTCCCATTTTTACCCCAAATACAGATTGCAGAATCACATCGGTTACACATCCACATTTTTTGAAAAGATTCTTAATAAAAACATTTTAAATTGTCTTTGCTCATTAATGTAATGAACAAATTCAGCTGGATATGGTGATGCACACCTGTAATCTCAGCCACTTGGGAGGCTGAGGCAGGAGGATGTAAGTTTGAGGCTAGCTTGGGAAATTTAGGAGACTCTATCTCAAACCAAAATATTTAAAAAAGGTCTGAGCCCATACGTGCTGGTACACACCTGTAATCCCAGTAACTCAGAAGGCTGAGGCAGAAGGATGGCAAGTTTAAGGGCAGCCTCAGCAACTTATCAAGACCCTGTCTCAGAAAGGGTTGAGTATGTGGCTCAATGAAAAACTGCCTCTGAGTTCAATACCTAGCACCAAAATAAAATAAAATTTAAAAAATGGCCTCTGCAGCATTTGAATTCAGGTGGGAGAAGAGTACATACCGTATTCTAGTGTCTAACAATTCCTTAATCATTGCCACAACTTCATCATCTTCTTCAGAACCTAGAAACAATTGAGTTTTAAAAAAATCAATAGTAGAAATTTAGTATCCATGCAGGTACAAGTATTAAAACAGCATGATTTTAAATTCATGGATCATTAAAAACATAAAACATGTAACTTGGTAATGTGACATAGTTGATTTTGAACAAAAAGAAAGAGAATCATTCATTTGGTTCTCTAAAGAAAAATTAAGTATACTGATCAACTCAACATTTAGTGTCAAGTACACTGAAATACCTTGATCTGCTAATTACGTTAGGGCTTGATTTTTGCGCCAGTAAATTTGAAAACTTTTATCATTCTTGAAAGTAGATCGAAGTAGCTGAGAATATAGATTATCTGAATTTTGAGACAAAAAAAGCATATCTATTTTATAAGTTACATCTTCAGCTTCTTAATTTAGTGATTTTCAAAAATATAATCACACTTAATATAAAAGCCTTTTAGAAATTTCTTTTTTTGTAATTTATTTTTTAGTTTTAGGTGGACACAATATCTTTATTTTTATTTTTATATGGTGCTAAGGATCAAACCCAGTGTTTCATAAATGCCAGGAGAGTACTCTACCACTGAGCCACAACCACAGCCCTAGAAATTTCTGACATTGTATAAATCTGAGTAAAAAGTGGGTTTTTCATTTTGTTTCAATTTTGTTTTTGCTTTATTTTGTAGAGTTATACTAATCTTCATTCGTGCCTTTCTATGAGTTTTTCACCTTTGTGAGAGAAATTTAGTTACCCGTGGGAAAGCCAAAAATGCAGATAATCATACTATACTATAACAAACATTAGATTCCTGGAAACTCTATAAATAATAATTAATATTAAATAACATTAACTTTGGGTATTTAAATACAATTAATATTAAATAACATTAACTTTGGGTATTTAAATATATGTTATTTAATATTAATTATTATTTATATTTAAATATCCCAAAATATAAAATTATTATATATATTTAAATACCCCAAAATATAAATACTTTATTTATATATATATATAAATAAAGTTAAAAGTCTCTTTCATCAGCAAACCTAAGTTTCATTCATCATCATCCATTTCACAGTCACTGTCTAGTTTGGTGTAAATTCTTCTAGGACACATTTACATTTATATATGTAAATTGAAACAGGTGAGATCATTCGATATGCATTGCTCTATACTCCCTCTACCACTGAGCTAAATTCCCAGACCTAGGTTTGTACTGTAATTTTGGTAGATGTAGTCAAATCACTCTCAAGTTGATATACACTTTGTATATTTATTCATCAATAACACAGCCAGGAGCTCAAAATGCAGCTCAGTAGTAAAGTGCATGAATGCATGAGGCCCTGGGTTCAACCCCAAGCAAATTAAAACAAAGCCAAAAATGTGGCAGGTCTTCTTTACTTTGTTTATGATGTCTTCTTTTTTTTAGTGCTGGGGATGAAATATAAGTATGAGCTCTACCATTGAGCTACATCCCAGCTACGGTTAGGAAGAAGTTATATGTCATGAATATACATAACAAAGAATTAATGCCCCCCAGATTTTTAAAAATTCTGCTTAAATCAGTATCAAAAAGACATGACTTAGCTGGGCATGGTGGTGCATGCCTGTAATCCCAGTGGCTAAGGAGGCAGAGGCAGGAGGATCACAAGCTTGAAGCCAGCCTCAGCAACCTAATGAGGTCCTAACCAACTTAGTGAGACATTGCCTCAAAATAAAAAAATAAAATAAAAATCATGGGGATGTAGCTAAGTGATAAAGCACATCTGGATTCAATCCTGAGTACCAGGGGAAAAAAAAAAAAAGACATGACTCAAATTTTTAAAACTTGACAAAGTACAAGAAACTTACTGACAAGGAAACTTAGTGCCTAATAAACATATGAAAACCTTCACGCTCAGTATTAATAAAAGAAATATAATTTTATTTATTTATTTGTTTTTAAACATTTATTTTCTAGTTGTAGGTGGACACAAGACCTTTATTTTTTTATTTTTATGTGGCGCTGAGGATTGAACCCAGTGCCTCATGCATGCTAGGTGAGCACTTCCTCTGAGCCACAACTCCAGCTTCAAGAAATATAATTTTAAAAAGATAATACTTTATATTTAACATATTGATTTTAAACAAATGTAGAGCCAGGAGCATAGTTCAGTGGTAGACCATTTGCCTAGCATTTAAGAAGCCTTGGGTTTGATCCCCAGCACCACCACCACAAAAAAAAAAAAAAAAAAAAAGAAGCCATGTGCATGTCAATTAGCATTTATGGTAACAGCAATTCCACTTCTAGGAACATACTCTAAAAAAAACTCTCCAGGACTTGTATAAGGATGCTACTCCAGAAATATTTGTAACAGAAATTAGTACAATTTGTTTGAACATAAGGAACAAGCTAACTATAGTTTATTCACATAATGGAATACTCTCCAGCACTTAAAATGAATAAACTAGAATGATACTTTTTAAAAATGGATTTATTTTAAAAATATTATATTCTATGAAATAGGCAAGTTGTAGTGAACCATAAGTTACTTATAGTTTAGGATCAAAAACCAATACTATAGGGGTTGGGGTTGTGGCTCAGTGGTAGAGGCTTGCCTAGCACGTTCAAGGCTTTGAATTTGATCCTCTGCACCACATATAAAATAAAGGTCTTGTGTCCAACTACAACTAAAAAATAAATATTAAAAACCACCACTAACAACAATACTATATATTTCCTTCAGACTTATGTGTGTTGTAAAAATATAAAAACAAACTATACACACGTATCTGGAAGGAAAAAGAGATAGGAGTCTAAGGGCATTAGCTGTATTTTTATAAATATTTTATTTTAAATGGATCTCAAGCAACAATGGCAAAAAGTTAATATTTGTTTGCTCCTTGGCATTACACACACAAAAAAAGTTAACATTTGTTAAATCTGAATGGAGGATAAAATAGTGACCATTATACTATTTTTTACGAGTACAAAATTTTTACAATTGAAAATTATAGTTTTGTATAATAGATTAAATTAAACACAAAATTTTAAAAATGATGAGTAAAACATATGAAGTTTTGTCCCCTGTAGTATTGGTTGCAGAGCTAAACAAATTAAATGATAAAAATCTGTATTCTTGGGACTGGGGTTGTGGCTCAATGGTAGAATGCTTGCCTAGCATGTGCGAGGCACTGGGTTCAATTCTCAGCACCATGTATAAATAAATAAAATAAAGATCCATCAACATCTTTTAAAATTTTTTAAAAATCTGTATTCTTATCACTTCTGAATCAAGGCAAATGTGAACAAATTATAAAAGTCTAAAAATAGATAAATATTAATTACTCAACATAAGTAATGTTACCTGCTTCTCCTGAAGATGTTTCCTCAGTAACTAGGGGTAAGCCAGATGCAAAGAAGTCCATAATTGTTGCATAAATATCTGGTTTTAATAAATTCCAGTCTAATTCTTCATTTTCCTATAAACATGTAAAGAAAAATGCTACATTTTCAGCCAAGGGCAAAGACAAATACAGAACACTACCTTGTATCTCTCAAGAATCTTTTCCAATTTACATCCTAAAATATGCAACACTGATTTCTGCAGAATACATATAAGTTCTACCTCTTTAAAGTATTACTTAAGTGACTTTCGGAAGACACAATTTTAAGATATTCCACAATCATTCATATCAAAATTTTAAGTGTGCTTGTACTACATAGGGGATAATGATTAAAATGATTAAAAAGTATTTTTTCATGATATGAAAAGAATTAAAACACTGAATGAATTCTCTATCTTTAAGAGAAAAACATGATATATCTGCTCATCAAATATACAGAACATCTTATGACTACTCAAACATTTCAATTTAAATGTATACTTAAAGAGTATTATAGAAGTGCAATGATGTAACTGTAGAACCATGGCTATCTATTAGAGGACTTGTGGACCACACCTGGTCTGTTCTAGTTTTTTAAAGGAAAGCTCTTAAGGAGAACCTATTAAATGTAGTCTAAACTCTTAGGGTGCTGTTAGCTACAATCTATGCTTGAATACTCTTAAAAATTAAGTCAATATGGGATAAAAAGGATAAAAGGGCTATATTTATTGTGGATTAAGAATCAATTTAGAGACAATAAACAAAAGGTAAAAGACACTGGCTGCTGTGGATATAAAAATAAAATTGGCCAGGTGCAGTAGTGGACACCTATAATCCCAGGGGTTCAGGAGACTGAGACAGGAGGATCACGATTTCAAAGCCAGTCTCAGCAAAATCGAGGTGCTCAGCAACTCAGTGAGACCCATCTCTAAATAAAATACAAAATAGGGATGCAGATGTGGCTCAGTGGCAGAATGCTTCTGAGTTCAATACCCAGTACCAAAAAAATTTTTTTAAAAAGTGAGATGTCCAGTGGTTGAGAAAATAAACTAGTTCTTGTTTATATTTTAATGAATTATTTGGAAGATAGAAGAGAATGTTCTCACAGATCTTCAGTAAATAATAGGCTGTACTGAGTAGAGAAACATTAGTAATAAAAAGAAAAATATCCTGAAATTATCTGAATAAGAAAAAAAGTAGCATATAAGCTACAAATACACATATACATTCAGAAAAAATAGCAAATGATATGTAAAGAAACTTATTATCAATTACAAATCAGAAAGGGAAACAGGTGATCACTGAAGATACCAGGTAAATGTGTAGTCAATAATGAGAAAGGTATCAGAAGAAAAGAGATCAGGGCCTGGAAATGTACTCAGTGGCAGAATGCTTGCCTAATGTGCATGAAACCCCCTGGAATGTCACTTGAAGATGGTCAAGAAAGGGCTTTCTGGGAATTTAGAATATTTTAAACTGTAGATGAAAACATTTTACAATTGGATATTTGCAAGAATACACATAACCACTAGAATTGCTCCCAAGGAGGAAAATCTCATTTCTCCTAATACACAAATAGCTACAAGAGAATAGTGGACTTAGTATGTTCACGATCAAGGCACATCAAGAACTCAGAATAGAGCCAGGTCCTTGGTGGTGCAACTCTGTAATCCCAGAGACTCAGGAGGCTGAGACAGAAGGAGTTCAAGACCAGCCTTAGAAACTTAGTGAGGCTCTCAGCAACTTAGTGAGACCTGTCTCAAAATAAAAAATAAAAATAGGCTGGGGATGTGGCTCAGTGGTAAAGCATCCCCAGCTTCAATACTGAGTACAAATAAATAAATTAATTAAATAAAATAAAAAAAAACAGAGTAATCTTTTCAAATTGCTTAAGGAGAATGTAGCAAATATTTTTAATTTTGACATACTATTAGGTTAAGTGATTCAGTGCAGTATACATACATCAATTACCAGATTTAAAAGGACATGTTGTTCAAATTTCAATATTTAATTTCCTATTAACCTAGTAGACATACTAATGGAATAGCCCTTTCTAGCATGAGTTAGAAAAGGGTAGCAAATTTGGCTTAATTTTGTGATATCTAGAGGTTAATTAAGTGCTACAATTATACAGTCGATTGTTCTATCAAACTCTGAAGTATTACTGAAGGATGGTGGAATTGTACATATGCATACATATATGTAACTTGTTTCATAAATCAACAGAATGAATGAATATATATCACCTTTCAAAGTGGCATTTATATCCTGGCATCTAACAAATGCATGTACAATTTATTTGTTTTTAGATGCAAATTACACAAATGAACAAATTTTTTTATTTTTTAATATCTATTTATTTGCTTCTCTTCCGACTCTACTAATTTAAGATAAGAATTAGTAAAAATAATACCTAGAAGCCTAAATTCTATCTTGCCAAGGCTGAGTCCTGCTATAAGGCAGCTATATAATCTTGGACACTGCATCTAATCTGTTGAGGTTCAAGTTTTCTTTTGAAAAATTGTACATCTGGATTATAATTAGATCTAGACTATACTTAACTTCAATCTGAAAATTCTTTTAAATAATTGAGAAATGTAAGATGTAAACTTCATTTGAAATTTTTTGGGGGGCGGGGGGTGGTTAAGCAGGAGTGCTTAACCACTAAGCCACATCCCTAGCTCTTTTTAAATATTTATTTATTATTATTATTATTTGTGTGTGTGTGTGTGTGTGTGTGTGTGTGTGTGTTTTGTTGGGGATTGAACCCAGGATCTTGTGCATGTAAGGCAAGCACTCTAACAACTGAGCTACATCCCAGTCCTAATTTTTATTTTTGAGACAGGGTCTCATTAAGTTCCTCAGGATCTTGCTAAGTTGCTGAGTCTGGCTTTGAATTTGTGATCTGCCTCCCTCAGCCTCTCCAGCACTGAGATTACAGGCATGTGCCACTGTACCCAGCTCATTTGAGATTTTTAATAATAGGATGTGTAAAACACATTAAGAATGGGAATTATGGAGAGGGGAATCAGCTCAGAAAAGACTAAAAGTACTTCAAATCTTATTTAAAATAACCCTACATAAATCTTATTTTATATACCTTTGTGACAGTAATGAAATCTGGTCCAAAGAAGACACTTTTTACTCCTTCAATTCTAAATAATTGCCTGTGAATACAGAAAAGAGAGAGAGAGATAATATTCAATTAGGAAAAAAGTTAATCATATTCAAAAGTAGAGAAAAGTAAAAGAACCTCCATGTACTTTTCACCAGTTTCAATAATTATCAACTCATGTCCAATTTTGTTTCATTTTCTATTCTTTAATCCAACAATTTCACACCTTTTATACAAGAAAAATGAAAACATATGCTCTACGAATACTTGTATGTGAATCTTTATAGCACCTTTATTTATAATAGCCTCTCCCAAAAAGTCTGAAAATGTCCATCAACAACTGGTGAATGAATAAAAAGGACTGTGGTTTATCCATATAATGTAGTACTACCTGACAATAAAGACTAATGAATGTACTACTGCTATATACAAAAATGAGAATGGCTTTAAAAGCCTTCCAGAAGTAAGATATACTACTGTTTGAATCAGTCTACTCACTCATTCAGCAAATATTTGGACATCCCTAAATGACATGTACTGTATGCAGCACTAGGGAGATAATGATGAGCAAGACAAACTGGCCTGTCCTCAGAAGATTACATTCTAGCAGTCAGCAAAAACATTTCCTACTGAAACAACAGAGAACACTAGTGGGTTTTTTTGTTTTTTTTTTTAAAGAGAGAGAAAGGTTTTTTTTTAATATTTATTTTTCAGTTTTCGGTGGACACACATCTTTATTTTATTTTTTTAATGTGGTGCTGAGGATCGAACCCAGTGCCCCCGCGCATGCCAGGTAAGCGCGTTACCGCTTGAGCCACAACCCCAGCCCACAAGATTTGTTTTACTTGACTGAAGATAAATTCTGTGAATCCAGGAAACAGGCTATTTTCTTTTTTGTGGCCTTTGCACAAGCTAGGCAAGTGCTCTTCCATTGACCTATCTATACCTTTAGACCTTTACATTTTTTTTTAATATTTATTTATTTTTTTTAGGTGTAGATGGACACAACACAATGCCTTTATTTTTATGTGGTGCTGAGGATCCAACCTGTGTCCTGCCCATGCTAGGGGAGTGCTCTACTGCTGAGTCACAATCCCAGCCCAAACCTTTGCATTTTTTAAATACAAAATATGTGAACTCATTCTTTTTTTTTTTTTTAAGACTCCTGGGCTGGTGATCACAAGGCCCTGTTTTGTATTCTTTATTCTCTTGTTGGGTGTTGTAGTCACTGGTTACAAGTCCTAATTTGAAGAGAAGGAAAATAAAACTGACCTCTGAGAAATCAGCTAGCAAAATAATAGAGTAGGATCAAGAAATCAATCATGAGTAAGTGAAGAATTTTAGAATTATTGAAAATGCAATTAAAAGGTGATCTTGAGGGTGGGCTCAATGGCAATCACAGCCTGGTAAATGAAAATCTTGTAAGTTATCATGTGACCTTGTCTAGGAATAGACTGTGATCACAGAGAGGAAGAGCTGAGTGGAGTACAGACAAGGTGACCTTGAGAAGGAAGACTTGGGAGCGGGTGTCTCAGCAATATGCAGAATTCATTCTCAATATAAACATTTCAAACAACACATATAAAGTTAAAATGCCTCTCAACCACATCTCCCAAATTCCATTATCATTTTGGGTATGTATTTTTCCTAACCTTTCTGTCAATGCATTTGTTATTTTGTGGGTTTTTTATTTTAACTTTAATATACATTTATACACATGTACATTATTCCACTGTACTCATGTTCTACAACTTGCTTTCTTCCCTTAATAATATGTTTATCTTAAGGGTCTTTTTGTGAAAATAAATATGGATCTTCCTCCTCCTTTTTAAAATTTATTTTTTAGTTATAACTGGACACAATATCTTTATTTATTTATTTATTTTTTGTTTAATTCTTAAGTTTTAGGTGGACACAATATCTTTATTTTACATTTATGTGGTGCTGAGGATCAAACCCAGTGCCTCATGCATGCTAGGCGAGCACTCTACTACTGAGCCACAACCCCAGCCCACAATATCTTTATTTTATTTTATTTTTATGTGGTGCTGAGGATTGAACGCAGTTAGGCAAGCACTCTAACTCTAACCCATGTTAGGCAAGCACTCTACCTCTGAGCTACAACCCCTTCTTCCTTTTTAATATGTACAGACTATAAAAAAAGTTTACCTAGTTTTTCCTAATGATGAATATTTAGGCTGTTTCCAAATTATCACCATTACCAACAAGGCTACACATACCTTGTGTACAAGTATGGATGTTCTCTAAGGTAGGGTTTTTCAAACCCAGCAGTGAACGTGAATTCAATTATGTAGTGATTGGGATTTTGTTATTTTATATAATAAAATAAAACAAAATATTCTGGGTACAAAGGTATTCATTTGGAACCCCAACAACTCAAGATGCTGAGGTAGGAAAATTGCAAGTTTCAAGATAGCCTAGGCTACCTTGTCTCAAAAAATTAGGGGGAAAAAAAAGGAAAAAGGGCTGGGGATGTAGGATGGTGGTAGAGCATTCCTAGATTCAATCCCCAGTACCACAAAATAAATAGATAAAATAAAATTTTAAAAGGAAATATAAAAATATATTGCCTATTATAAAATTTAAAAAGTAAAAATTATCCCATAAAAAATTCCATCACACACACATACACACACAACAGACACATACAGGTGTATGTACTGCTTCATAATGTAAAATATTTCTAACTGTGCCTTACATCAAAAAAAGAAAATGTGAAAATTACATGTTCTAATGTATATTCTGAGAAGTGGTATGCTTGAGTCAAAGGAAAGTAAATATTTATTAACTGGAAATTAAAAAAACTATTTCTGAGCTTTATCTCTAACTGGCTAAATTAAACATATAAAATGATTATAAAGCTTTACTTTCCAAATATTCTTGGCAATCAGTGTCAGAATTAAGTTATCAAAAATTTTACCTGCGGTGGGTTGTACCTCAGTGAGGTGTGCGTAGTACGCACAAAGGCCCTGGGTTCAACATCCAGCACCAAGGAAAATATTTCCAACTGTTAATAACTGATTCTACTATTTCTTTTTTTGTTAATTAATATTTTTTTAGCTGTCATTGGATCTTTTATTTATTTATATGTGGTGCTGAGGATTGATCCAGAGTCTCACACATGCCAGGTAAGCACTGTACCATTCAGCCACAACCCCAGCCCATTCTAATATTTCTTTTTTTTTTAATATTTTATTTACATTTTAGTTTTCGGCGGACACAACACCTTTGTTTGTATGTGGTGCTGAGGATTGAACCCGGGCTGCACCCATGCCAGGCAAGTGTGCTACCGCTTGAGCCACATCCCCAGCCCCTAATATTTCTTATTATAACTAATCTATCTAGCTATCAGTTCAAAAGAGGATCATTCTAACAATTTTGTCATTTGTGTTATTATCTCTGACAACATATTTAAACATGTTCTTTTTATGAATTTTAAAATAATCCCTACTGACTACTTTTAAAAATCATGTCATATCTGGTAACTACAATCATTTATAATTTCTAGTGAATCATTTTAGAACTACTTCGTCTTGTAACATGTAGAAATTCGCAAGTTTTATGAATAAAATAAGCAAGTTTTCATTATTCTTAAAAATCAGAGTTTTAGGGCTTGGCACAGAGGTGCAGTGACTTGGGAGGTTGAAGCAGGAGTATCACAGGTTCAAAGCCAGTTTCAGCAACTTATTGAGGCCCTAAGCAACTTAGAAAGACCCTGCCTCAAAATTTAAAAAAAATTATCAAAGGACTGAGGATGTGGCTCAGTGGAGAATCGCCCTTGGTTTCAATTTTTAGTTTCAAAAAAACAAAAAAACAAAAAAGAAAAAAATCAGTTTTAAAGATTTGGAATTGAAATTTACCATAATTATCAATTAGGGGGGATTTTTTCTTATGTAAAAATATGAATTTTCAATTATTGATGCTACAGAGCTGTAGCATAAAATATATCATGCTCAAATATATCACGCTTCAGGAGAAAGTTTTCTAATATCAACTCTTACTTTTCTTCATCTCTTACCTGAAAAGAAAACAAAGTATTCTCTGCATTGAAAAATGCAGAGCACATAAAAATGCAATATTACATAAGTCTGTCTAAACCCAAAGTCAGCTATTTATGTTGCTTGGTAAAAGCAAATGAAAACAGTAACATACCTAGCCAGAGGAGAACGAAATGCTGTAGCTGCTGTGGGAAAATCCATGGTCCTTGTCTCAAGAACTGGTTTTCCTGGTATAAACTTTAAGCTGTTGGGGTTTGGGGTATCTTGGGTTTGAATAAACATGTATCTTACTGAAAAAGAAAAAGAAGAAAGGAACATTATTCTAGAAAAAGTAGTAGTTACAAGTTAAGTGCTCATTTTCAGAGAAGCAGAAGAAAAACTGGAAAAATAAAAACTTACAAAGCTTTATTTCCCAGCTGAAAAAATAAGAATCTATAAATACAAGAAATGCTAGATACAATAATTACATAGAACTTTATATTAATACTTTGATTATTTAAATAGTTATGTTATTCTCCAGATTCCAAGAATATCCTATACTTAAATAGAAAGCCATAACATAATTCAGGAGTCATAATCTATTTTGTGATTTGGTATCAATAGCTATCATAGTCCTAATCACAGGTTATTTATTTTTAAAATTTTTGCAGTTCTGCAGATTGATCCCAGGACCTCATGCTAGGCAAGCACTCTACTTCGGAGCTATACTCTCAGTTCCCCAGATCACAGGTTATAATAACTATAATATTTTTAAAAAATATTTATTTTTTAGTGTAGATGGACACAAAACAATGCCTTTCTTTTCTTTCTTTCTTTCTTTTTTTTTTTTTTTTTTAATGTAGTGCTGAGGATCAAACCCGGGTCCCGCCCATGCTAGGGGAGCGTTCTACTGCTGAGCCACAATCCCAGCCCAACTATACTATTAATACAGTAAAATGCTACATTCTCTTCTTTCCAAAGTACCACCATTTTTTCAAAGACAATCAAGTTAGCAATTTATTTTAAAAACAAATATTTGTTTGCTTATTATATGCCAGATACAGGTTCAAGTGCTTAAAATGTGTGAATATCTTTTACAACTTGATAAAGAAGGTACTGACACTGCCATTTTATAAATGAAGAAAATGAGACTGAGAAGTTAAATAACTTTCTTGATGGTACAGCTAGTCAGAGTATAAAATTCAAATATATATATATATATAACAAATAAATAGTAATAAATAATAAAATCTATGTGAATTACTTTCTGAAATATTTAAAAATATCTTTTTAAAAATTTTTGTAGTTGTAGATGGACAGGATTCATTTATTTTATTTGTTTATTTTTTATATATTTTATTTTTTAGTTGTAGTAGGACACAATACCTTTATGTTATTTATTTTTTTTATGTGGTGCTGAGGATCGAACCCAGAGCCTCGCACATGGTAGGCAAGCCACAACCCAATTTTTAGTTCTCGGCGGACACAACATCTTTGTTGGTATGTGGTGCTGAGGACTGAACCTGGGCCGCACGCATGCCAGGCGAGCGCGCTACCGCTTGAGCCACATCCCCAGCCCGGTTCATTTCTTATATACTTTTTCTAGGACTATGATTAGATTCAGATTAAATTCATTAAAGCAATAGAGAGAGAACAATATCTTTAATTTCCTACCTTGTAGGAAAAAAGAATAGCATTTAGGTCTTGATACTTTAAAAACTATTTAGCAAATCCTGATGACTTATTATGAAATAAACCTGAGCAAAAAAAAAAAGTTTTCCACTTTAAAGCAGCATACTGAAACAGGCTGATAATGGTATATACTCACAACTAAAATTCATTTAGGACAAATCATAAGCTGGGCATGGTGCCAAGCACTTTACATTTATTACATCCCTTAATCCTTACATCTTCTCAAGGAGGCAGTATTCTTTTATTTATTTTTTATTTTTTATTTTTTTTTAGTAATCAATGAACCTTTATTTATTTATATGTGGTGCTGAGACTGGAACCCAGTGCCTCACACATGCTAAGCACACACTCTATCACTCAGCTACCACCCCAGCCCCCACTCTATTCTTATTGTTTCTCTCTCTCTCTCTCTTTTTTTTTTTTTTGTAGCACTGGGGACTGAACCCAGCCTCACACATGGTAGTCAAGACCTCTACCACTGAGCTATATCTTCAGGCCTATCTTATTCTATAAATGAGAAAATTAAAGCTCAAGGCCACTTAGGTCATAAGTAATAGGGTCAGGATTCAAGGCTGGACAATATCCTAGCACTGACTCTCTTAACCAGTGTGCATACTGTCAATCCTTGTCTACCAGTGCCAAGAATGATAGGAAAATACATTTTAGATCAGTCTTCCTATTCTGTAATAATCTTCATACCATATATTTTAAGATATAATAAAATTTTGAAAAGCAACAGTTTTATTTTAAATAGGAGAGAGATTACATTTGGCAAAACATGTGGTTGGTATCACATGCTAGGCAAGCACTCTACCACTGAGCTACATCCCAAGCCCAGAAGTGCTTTTTTAACTATTAGGGAGAAGATTCTAGTTTGATAGCCAAGAGTTATTTTTGTAACTCACTATACAGTTCCAGCTAACTGATGTTGAACCACTTCCTATATGGAATAGATTTGCAAACTAAATTCTCACACATTTTTCTTTTCTTTTTTTAAGAGAGAGAGAGAGAGAGAGAGAGAGAGAGAGAGAGAGAGAGACCCTTCTAATATTTATTTTTTAGTTGTTTTTTTTTTTTCCAGCGGACACAACATCTTTATTTTGTATGTGGTGCTGAGGATCAAACCCGGATCGCACGCATGCCAGGCGAGCACACTACCACTTGAGCCACATCCCCAGCCCCATTTTTTTTTTTCTTAAGTCATTGTATTAATTAGACATCAACTGCTGACATAGCAATCAGGCAAATCTCAAAAAAAGAAAAATGAAAAAATTGAACCTCAATGTTTAAATATTAATTTGAAATATTTATACCAGCAACCAAGACATTCCTCTTAAAAACCTGTTATCAAAGGATGATTTTTCAAATGCAACATTAAAGAAGAGTTGTCACCACTTTCTGTTAAATAAAGGTCAGCAAGGTTCTTTTAACCCTGGTTCTGAACCAACCATTTCTTGCAGTCTTGATAATTTTTTGGTCACCCAAATCTCTGCATATATTAGGCACTCTACCAATATTTGAAGAATTAAATCTGGGTTTATCCTACTCAATCCACTTGAATAAAACTATACCAACAGAAAGGAAAATTTTAGAAATACTTGAAGGTAAAAATTATAAATGTAGGGAAAAAGTCATTTAAGAGCATATTGCATATATACATACATATACACACATATAATCTCAAGTAAAAATTATAAAAATTATGATATCACCACAGAACTTTTACTTTTTGACAATGGACAAGTTATTCCAAAAGACTAATTTAAGTAGCTATTTAATAAAATCATTCCAATTATAGTCTAAATTTGGTTTAATTAGATATTTAAAAAATTACTCACATGTGAGTTACAACAGGATAGAGACTGATATAAAATATTTTTCCTCTTATGCTTGGTACTAAATAGGTACCTAAGTAGGCATAATTTCCTGCCAAATAGAGTGGTACTTGAAGTCAACATCAATGTCTAAAATCAGTGGGTTTTCTATTTCAGATAAGTCTACATGACCAAGTAATTCAGTCCTACAAAACTTAAGTCCAATTAAACCATTTGTCCCATCATCTCAGATGTGGAATACCCTTAAAAACTTTAAAATAATTTCAACAATAAGAATATAATTACTATATAATATTAATAAAACTATATAAGTTCTAGAGTATTATTTTCAACCTCTTTTAATGTACCTGTGTCAACTTCATTGAAATATCTGCAAAATTGAAAATTTGGGACTCAGTTGGTTAAGGTGATTTGATCTGTTGAGTTGCTCATTATTTACATCTAAACTATGTGATAATTCAAGGAGACAGGCAAGCACTCCTCTTCTTGTTCCAGTCTATAGAGGGGTAAGCTCCTACCCTGATTCAAGGTAATATTCTTGAACCAGAGTCAGTCACACTCTAGAATATAATCATATGAGGGTGTTCAAGATAGTGATGGAAAGGGGAATAGGTTGAAGTTATATGCTACAGCTTCATAATCACACAAGTCCACATTTATACACACACACACACACACACACACACACACACACACACACACACACATAATTTCTTTCTCTCCCCCAAGCTTTCCTAACATATTTCAAATTATTTTAAAATCCTATCTTCACACCTATTTCCCATACTAAAAAAATTAAAGTACATAATATCAGTAAGACTGTCAACCACAGTAATAAAGCAGAGGGTATAGCTCAGTGGTAGAGTGCCTGCTTAGCTTGTTAAAGCCCTGGGGTTGGATCTCCAGCATCTCAAAGAATAAAAACAAAACAAAGCAAATGAACAGACAAATAACCCTATATTCAACTAATTTTGAAAAAGAAAAACTACATTCAATATCCAATGTAAGAAGGTCTGAATGAAAGCCAAAAACTTACTGATTTTAAAGGTATTTGTGTCAAAACAAGGAAAGCAGTATCTTAAATTACATGATTCTTTTAAACACAAATCCATTTGTTAACTTCTTTATTACAATATTTTCATTTCAAAAGTCATTTATTGAGCAATCCATGCTCCAAAAGATGTGTTACACAAGATACTGACACTTCACAAGTCTATTGGATAATGTTCTTTCAAATATCTGCAGTAAAGTGTATTGTTATGATAGGAAAAATAAAACACTCTTTTTATAAGCCTCTGGATAGAAAATTTATAAATTATTGTCTTTTATGACCTACAAATCCTAGTACAGTTCCATTAGCTTCTGAAATACAATTTATTCTAAAAGAGTGAAATTTTACCTGTGTTACATAAGGCTGCAGGTAATGGGAAGAGTGGTCTTCGTACAAATTGATGCAGAGGTCGTTTCTTGATGATATATGCATTCATCATGTGACAGAATCTACATTTAAAAAACAAATTATAAATGACATTTTATGAGATCTAATCTCAAGGTCAGTTTCTACTTATATAAAAGACATGTAAAATTTAAATATAAGTAGCAATAAAAATGATTAGAGAGTGAACTTTTCATTTTTCATCTATAACATATTTTACCTACTTCGGCAAGTAATACAAACAATTCAAAAACAGATGAAGATCAAACAGAAATTCATAGCTTCAATCACTAGAGATGCATAGGATAATGTTAACATCCAGGTATAAAAACCAGAAATGTCAGGGCTGGGGATGTGGCTCAAGCAGTAGTGTGCTTGCTTGCCTGGCATGCGTGGGGCTCTGGGTTCAATCCTCAACACCACATAAAAATAAAAAATAAAGACATTGTGTTCACCTAAAACTAAAAAATAAATATAAAAAAACCAGAAATATATCTATATTAGTGATTTAAATCTGTAGCTGGGTGTGGTGGCCCACGCCTATAATCCCAAGAGCTTGGGAGGCTGAGACAGGAGGATCACCCATAGCCAGCCTCAGCAAAAGTGAGGCACTAAGCAACTCAGTAAGACCTTGTCTCCAAATAAAATACAAAATAGGGCTGGGGATGTTGCACAGTGGTTAAGTGCCCCTGAGTTCAATCCCTAGTACCCCCTCCCCCAAAAAATCTGTGGCCGAGGCTCAAGAGGAAGTCAAAAAACTATACAGGTTTTTAGTAAGATACAGTGGCACACACCTGTAATCCCAACAACTCCTAAAGGCTGAGGCGGGAGGATCACAAGTTCAAGGCCAGACTCAGCAATTTAGAGAGACTCTATTCAACTTAGTGAGACCCTGCCTCTAAATAAAAAATTCAAAGGGCTGGGGAATGTGGCTCAGTGGTTAATGCCCCTGGGTTCAATTCCTGGGAACAAAAAATAAGGTGGGGGGGGGAGGGGGGTGTCTGGGGATGTGGCTCAAGCGGTAGCGTGCTCGCCTGGCATGCGTGTTGATAAAGGAAAAAAGTATACACTATGAAAAATTTCCCTTTTTGCCCCCTATCACTTGTTATCTGATTCTTTCACCTGTTAAGAATACAGGCTGAGGGTGTAGCTCAGTGGGAGAGTACCTGCCTAGCCTAGGTAAGGCCCTGGGTTTAATCCCCAGCAAAACACACAACACACACACACACACACACACACACACACACACACACACACACACAGTACAGGGTAAGTATCCTGTATTGGAAAATCTGAAATGCTCCATAATCTGAACTTCTTCTTCTTCTTCTTTTTTTTTTTTTTTGGTACAGGGGATTGAATCCAGGGTGCTCTATCATGGAGATACATCCCTAGCCCTTTTCATTCTGACACATGGTCTCACTAAATTGCTGAGGCTGGCCTCAAATTTACCATCCTCCTGCCTCAGCCTCCCAAGTCACTGTGACTACAGGGGAGCAAGCCCCACCATGCTCAGCCAAAACCTGAAACTTTCTGTGCATCAACATGAAATTTTACCTCATCTGGTGGGTGACAATCAAAATGCAGTCATGCCAAAAACATACAAAATTACCTTCAGGTTATGTGTATAAGGTATATATGAAACATAAAATGAATTTTGAATTTAGACTTGAAATATCACCAAGATATTTCATTATGTATATGTAGCTGTTACAAAACCCCAAACCTGAAACACTTCTGGTCCCAATTCTTCCCATTTTCTCCCCTCCTTCCTCTCCCTCTTCCCTTTCCTCTACTTTCTTCTATTTATTTACAGTTTTTTTTTAAGTCAGTGAATTATGGATATTCTGAAGGTGAAATTCCCTGTGGTATATTCATATATGTACAGAGGATAGTTTGGTCAGTTTCACTTCCACCATTCCTCCCTTTTCCCATCCCTCTTCCCTCCCCCTCAATTCCCTTCTCTCTTTCTTCCTGTGGTCCCAAGCATTTTAAATATGAGGTACTTAATTTATATTTCAATATTTCAAAAAGTCTTAATAGAAAGTGTATTATCATCCAGTCAAAATAAATAAATAAAGGTGTGAAAGGAAGATCAGTAGAAGAGAGGAGAGAAAATGGGGGGAGGGAAGAGGAGAAAAGGGGAAAGGTCATGAGGACTGAAATTAAATTCCATGTGTGTATAATTATGTCAAAAGGAACCCAGATACTATGCATGAATGCTCTAATAAAAAAAAAGTGTACTATCATTCTCCAAATTGCTGAAGCAGTCAACAATCTCTATATACTTTTTGATGGGCAACATTAATTCAATGTTGTAACTATACTTCACTCTGATAGAGAAGCTTATTTCACTCTAGTAAAGAAGCATAAATTGGCTATTTTCATGGCTTTGACAAATTAAAAACAAGGGGATGAAAGAAGGCAGATACTAATGGAAAAGAAAAGGACACTTTAGTAGTAAAAAATTTAAGGTTGGGGTTGTAGCTCAGTGGTAGAGCACTCGTCTTGTATGTATGAGGCACTGGATTTGATCCTCAGCACCACATCAAAATAAAGATACTGTGTCCATGTATAACTAAAAAAAATTATTATTAAAAAAATTTTAGAACATGTTGCAAGTTTTACTTTAAAATATTATGGCTATGCATTACGATTGTCCTTTCATAGGTTCTACTGAAAAATTTTAACCACAGGGGTCACTTTCATAAACATACACAGGATCATCTTTTCAAAAACAGGTTTCTCTGGGTATTTTTCACACAAATAGGAAGAAGTAATAAACAGGGGCTGCACTTCATTTTTCCCTTATAAAACCAGAATTTGCTTGTCATAAAGAGTGAGCACCAAGTAAGTTGAATACAAATAACCTAAATTTCTTCCTACCTTCAGTGATCTTTAAGTGCCATATAAAAGCAAAAAAAATGCTTTACTGGAAGGTTGTGGACCTATTACCCATGGAGAGTTTCTTTAGGTACCACTCAAGAGGTTAAAGGCCTGACACTGAGGGTTCAGGAGAACAAAATAAGCATTAGTGACATCATGGAAACAACAGTAAATGGGGAACCAAGGAACCTGTGAAGGACTGTCACACCCCATGGTAACTCCAAAGGCTTTAACAACAAGGTTTGTCACCATACTGAACTATATGACCATTACAGCCCTCATGACTTTCTCATTATTTGCTAGTATGTCCTTCTTACTAAACTGCAAGCTTATAAAGAGACTGTTTTCATTTTATGTCCTCAGCTGCAAGCACTATGGCCCCTGTTCCTCCTTTCAAAAACGAGATTAATATTCAGAGCTACCTAATAAAGATTGGGTACCATCCATATCACGCAAGTAAAGTGTTTAAGCCAGTGCCAAGCCATACAATAAATGCTCAATAAATGATACTACTGTTATCATGTCAATTGTTTGTAATTACATGATTATTATTGGTATAATTCATCAAATGAATTATTATGAGTCTAAATCTCCCTATGAATATGCGGGAATTCAAAAATGGACTGGAGATCAGTATTTCTCTTCCTTCAACTCTGAGAAGAGGCAGCTGAGTGGATAAATCAGAAGCATGTTCTGACTGAGACAGGTTTAAAATCCAAAAAAAAAAAAAATAAAGCAGGGGTGAACTAAGTTATTCAAGAAAGATATCAAAAACATATGGGGTATAGAAAAGGGGTAACTAATAAAAAAAAAAGTGTTCTGGAAAACATTATTTTTAAGAAATGCGTTCAAGCTTTATGAGCACCATTAATACTAAAACGTCTAATACTCAGAAGGTCAAATTCTGTTAGGACTTTTTCCCCAGAAGTAAAGTGAGGTCCGACATGTACATAAATCACATCGATGTTGACAGATGTGTCTGGGAAGTGAAACTCAAAGGCAGGGTTCAGGGAAGAGGGAGAAACAAGGCAACAGAGTGGGCTGAAGTAGTGGTGGTGGTGGCAGAATCAGGGGTCTGCATTCTCCTCGGAGTTCCTTCCCTTACAAGCTGTGCGACCTTTCTAGGCCTCGCTGGAAAAGTGAGGAAATGAAACACACTACTTTCTTTCCTTCGTGTGACATTCCGATTTTGTGTTTAAGAAAGAGAAAGGAATGAATGCACATGTGTCTACAGCCGGTCTCTTCGAGTCTCCCCCAGACACCTGGCCGAGGTTCCGCAGGCTGCCCGAACCACAGATGCGGAGCTGCCTCACCAACAGCCGCGGGTCTTCGGGCTGAGCCCTCGACCAACCGCGGCGACCTGGGTGGATCCAGGGGCTCCTTCGGATGCGCTACCCGCCTCTCCTTGAGAGAGGGTTGGCGAGGCAGTGACCGGTCCGCCAGCTAAACCCACCAGCACTCCAATTCGGAGCTTCGGGGCCGTCACCTACCGCCTGCGCCGCCCGGCGGCAGCAGCCGCAAAACTCCAGCCCCGCCGCACAGCCGTCGCCATCATCTTAGTCCTTCAATGCGCAATCGCAGAGGCCTTGCTCCCTCGCCGCGCCCCCAAAGCTCCGCGCAGGCGCAAACCGACGGGAGTTGGGCTGGCACCTAGAAGAGCGCACCCTACAGGCCGTGGGCGGCGCTTGTGCGAGTGAGAGCTGCGGGCTTTCACTTGGTCCTTTACACCTGTTGCCTACCTACAGCATAAGCCCGAACCAGGCGGTATCCGGTAGAAAGTTTTGCTAAGCATGCGCGGGCGCCTTCTAAGGCACGTACTTCGCACGCATGCGCAGAAACGTACTTTCCTGTTCTTTCTGGTAGCTTTTCTGGTCCTGGCCCAGCAGTTAAAATGCTACTCCTCCCCAACCCCCAAACCTGCCCCATTCCTCCTTTTAGCACCCCATTCCTCCTTTTAGCACCGTGCTAGCCCTCTGGGCCTAGCACAGTGACTCCAGAGCATCGTTTCTGATTGGTGTCTCGCCTTTCTGCTGCCCTTCTGTGGTAGGGCTGGTGCAACCTGTTTTAACCCTCTAGTTAGGTGGGGCTTGTGGACCCACCACTTGGTCATCTTGAATCGGTTCATACACAGGACCCATCTAGTGTAGTGCTATCCTTCGCTGGATAAATATGAGTGTTGACTAATTTCGAAAGCAAACTAAAAAAACCTTTTAAGTACTCTTCCAGGCCTTCCTGGGGTATTCGGTTTTCTAAAGTGTGAACGGGGGTGGTGGGGCATGGGAACTGCCTTATTAAATTCCGGGCCCCACTTTAGACCTCAGAGTGTAAAGGTGGGACCCAGTCATCTATTTTTAACAAGAGCCCCAGGTGATTTCTGATGCAGGCTGAGATTTGAGAACTGTTCTGGAAGGTTGTTAGAGTGCTGTTTTCTAGAATGGAATCAGCAGGCCTGTGGTTGAACAGGTAACAGCAGAATCTGTCCCAAAGTATGAGTGATCTGAGGAGTGGGTGGGGAGATGTCAGTCTGTGGAGCTTCCACGGGGAAGGTGGGGAGGCTGGACCAGAGAAACCTTGTATGGCAACATTATTGTTTCACCCAGAGGTGGATGAAGGTCTCAAGAGGCAGATTAGACAAAAGACAACAAATATACTGTGATGATCACTCTAATTACTTATAGCCCTTTCTACACTGCCTTTGTTTTGTTGGATAAGAGAAGGAAAAAGCAACCACAAAATCTCATTCCTCTTGCATTTTTTTTTTTTTTTTTAAGGAACTGGGAATTAAACCCAGGGCCTTGAGCATTTATGCACTCTACCACTGACTACAGACCCAGGATGTTCCTCATTTTCAAATAATCTGGAATACATATTTTAAAAGCAAAATTCCTACTTCAGTATTACTCCTCTGAATAATAATTGCTCTGGAAGCTGTGTAGCTCCCTATTTTGAACCAGCATTAATTTTATTATGGGCAGGGAACCAACATTAACTAAACTTCTGTTTATTCAGATTTCATTGTATTCTTTTTCTTCCCTGGAATCCACTTGGGATACTTTTTTTCTTCTAGTCTCTTCTGGCCTGTTGGAGTTTCCGACTTTTCTTCGTTTTTTTTTTTTTTTTGTACTGGGTGCTCTACAACTGAGCCACATCCCCTGCCTTTTCTTTTGAGACTAGGTCTGGTTAAATTGTGGAGGCCTAGCCTGGAACTTGTGATCCTATTACCCCAGCTTCCCAAGGGATTATAGGTGCATGTGCACACTGCCATGGGCAAGACTTTCCTTAGTTTTGATGATTAACAGTCTTAAGGGATGCTAGTCAGGTACTGTACTTTGTAGAATATCCCTTAACTGGGGTTTGTTTAATGTTCTCCTCTTGGTTAGAATGGGGTAAAGGCATTTGGGGAGGATGTCTACAGAACCGAGAGCCCTTCTTATCACAGGTACACACTTTGGCATAATTTTTCATCTGGCAGAGGTGGTGTATGTTAGGGTTTTCCACTGTAAAGTTACTCTCCAATTCCTGTCCGTATGTTCCTTTTGGGAAGCATGGCCCACATTCAAAGTATATAGAATTAAATTCCAGTTGTCTAGTGGGGAATGTACCTAAATTAGTTGAAATTTTATGTTAGGTTTGTCTTTTTTCATTTATTCAATAATCATTTTAATAGTAGTGGAGGCTTATAGCTATTGACTTTATACCTTATAATTTCATACCATGGCATTTATTTTATTGCTCAACTTGTTCTTTGACCTCAGGAGTTCTTTCAGATTGGTTCTTATGTCCCTATGTCTTTCATTTTATTTTACTTTTTAAAGTACTTATTTTACTTTCTGGCACTATAATTACACCACGTTCCTGGTTCATCTCATTCATTTCCTGTTCTAGCCCTCAAATCAGTCTTTTCTCCTGGGAGACCTGGCTCCTTTTATTTGAACCTGGGCATTTAGAAACCTCAAATTGGGTGGTAGGTATGTGTGAATCCATGTACTTTTCATCATCTTATTCCTTCACCTTCATCTGCTCCCTCTCTAGACTTTCTCCTTCTCCCCTAAGCCCATCTACTTGAGCATTCAACTTGCTCAAAGGGTTTCGCTCATCAACCCTTCTTGGTCCATGTGCCCAACTGAAAGTCTTCTTAGTATTCTCTTTCCGTTTTTTATTCAGTCTCTAGTATAGCTGCATTTTCAAAAAAAGTTGGCAACTATGGTCTTATTGAACCAAAATAGATTGGATTCCTGGATCTTTGAACACATCCCTGTGAACACAACTTATAAATAGCTCTCTCTGAATCATGTTAAGCTCAAGTTCAGTTAGATAGCACTGTTATTTTTTTTTTTTAATTTGAGGAGGAAATAGGCAAGCAGGTTCTCCATCATAGTGTAGATTTTTAAAATTCCTAGCTTTATTTCTCTAAGACTTTTCTCTATGTTAATGCTATGTTTCTCTATGTTATGTTCCTCCTTTAGGAATACTAAAAATTTATTAGTAGGTTTGGGGATGTAGCTCAGCAGTAGAGTGATTGCTTAGAATGCATAAGACCCAGGACAAAGCGGGGGAAGAGCGGGGGGGGGGAATATCACTAGGCTTTTTAGTAGTGAAAGATGGCTATGGATCCCTCCAATCACACGAAGATCTCACTTAAGAAAAAACACAAAGTATAAGTCATTTCATTAGGTTCATTTTAATAAAGTTTCCAACTCAATTATTTATAAAAATTATCAGATACATGAGATAGATCACACCAAGAGTGCAACAACATAAATCCAATAGTCTGCAAATAAGAGGTATTGCGAGAACTGTTAAGATTGACATTGTGGTCTTTCCCCTTCCTTTCCCTTGTTCACAGTCTTTGAGACTGTTTGCACATTGTTGTTTTCTGATGCTTGATGACCTCAATACTCCTTAAGGGTGAGACGTTCTTATTCTGTCAACTCCAAATACTGTCAGTGGAGGGAGTTCAGCTTTTCTCCACGAAACGAACATGGTCCTTGGCCTTTATTAAATTTGTTTTCTATTCCCTAGAAACTGATATTTAATGTTCCCTCATTCAAAGTAATGTCTTGCAGGTCTTGCAGTGTCTGGTCACTACTGTCACTACTCACAACTCCTTAGGATAAGCCCTACTGAATCTTATTTTGGAGATGAGATGATGCTTATTTGGGAAGGAGGCTAAGGCAATGAATGCCAATTTTCTTCAATGCTACTGAGAACAACTTCAGTTCTAACTTTGAGAGTTTGGGGCAAAGGGAGCTGAATTTACTTGTGCCAGATATCGATGATCACTTCTCAGTACTTTTTGGATGCCTTTAAGGGCCATAATTAACACCATGGAAGAAAGCATAGAATGTACATATATGTACACACACAGACCCACACTCCATTCACACTCCTCTACCAGAACTCTTTGGTAGACTCAGAGAATACAACTGACTTGCCCTTTCTGAGTGAAAAGTTTGCATTGTGTCCCTTCCCTTCCAAAGTCTAACCCATTCCACTTTACTTATTTTTGGTCCATGCTGGGTATTGAACCCAGGCCCTTGCTACCACTGAGCTACACCTCCATTCCTCCCACATCTTACTTTAACTGATGTTGGTAAAGCCTATTTCTGCAATTCCTTGCCAAAAGGAATCAGATTTTTTCCCCCCAGTACTGAACATTGAAGCCAGGGCTTCATTCATACTAGGCAAGTGCTCTAGCAGTAAATTACATCTCCAGCCCTTTTTAGTTTTTGAGACAGGGTTTCACTAAGCCGCCCAGGCTGGCCCTGGAACTTGTGATCTTCCTGCCTCAGCCTCCCAAACAGATGGGATTATAAGTGTGTGCCACCATGTTTGGCTTCAAACATATTAAACATGTATAGCTGGTACTAGTACAATGCAATGAAGTAACCCTGACATGATTTCAAGAACATTGTTACTATAAACTCAAAACTGTGTTACACACAGAGACTGCTGGGTTATGAGAATATTGGACTAAGCCACATATAGTTAACATTTAACCACTTCTGCCAGCTGTTCTGGAGTCCTTTCACACATAAACTGGTCCCTGCATTCTGAAGCATTGTGGGCCACGAAAGATCAAGGTGGAGATCAAGGTCGTATCTCTACAGAATAAGGCTGGAGTCCTGCCAACTCTCATTACAGTCTAAGAGAAATGGGGAAGGTCAGTCATTTCATTGTTATTGGTGACAATCTCACAGGCTGGGCTGAAACTTACAAAACTATTTATAGTAGTTACAGGGGAAGCAACTAAATGTTAACATGGTCATTCAACCAATCTCTCATCATCCGCTTATTCACCTGGTTAAAACAGGGGAATGTCAATTGAAGAAATGAAGTGGGAATAAGAACAAGATAGGTGAGCCAGGAAGATTTCCAGGGACAGAACAAAAACAATTTCCAACCAGATACTTTTTTATTATATTTTAAGTGTTATGTAATTTGACTTCCAGGTTTTTCAATAAAACTGTTATGAGACCAGCAACCATTTCTGAGTTGACTGGGATGTGTTCTCCAATTTCCATTCCAATGAACATAGAAGAGACCCAAATTACTCCATTTTATGTTGTTTCTTTCCTGCTTAGGAGAACTTTGGGTCTCACCCTTCTCTAATTTCCTATAATAAAATTTCCTATTTGATATAATGCATACATATTATGTAATTTGATATGTTTTTATTGCTTAAGGAAAAAATACAGAATTCCTATCATCACATTACTCTGGTGATTATACTTAAATGTGCTTTCTTTATGCACCAGCAA